AGGATGAGGCAGCCCCAGTGGGTGACTGCGTCTGGGGGGACTCCAGTGTGTGTGGTCAGTGCTGTCCTGCTCAGGACAGTGCCGGTGGGTGATGAAGGGGTCTCTGAGGGTGGCCCTGGGCTGGTGTGAGGTGGGGTTGGCAGCCCAGCTGGCTCTGGTCTGTCCTGGGGGTGCAAGGGTCAGGCTACAAAGCAGTGGGTGACCGTGGTTGTGTTTCTCGCAGGCTCCAGGGTCATGTTTTACCTGGCTGCCGCTGTGTCAGATTTCTACATCCCCGCCTCGGAGATGCCTGAGCACAAGATCCAGTCCTCGGGGGGGCCCCTGCAGGTGAGGAACCCCAGGGCATGCCCCACCCCTTCCTGACACCCAGAGTGTCCCAGCGTCCTGCCTGGTCACGACTATGAATAAGACCTAGGAAAGGTTGCAAAGCAATGGTTTGCTGGCCAAAAAAGCTGTGTTTTCACTGGGAGTGGCAGGGTGAATTTCCATGGGAGCAGAATCCTGTGGCAATACTTTTTTTGGAGCTCTGCGTGCTCATGGTGTGGAGATGAGTGGATGGTGGACCCAGCTGCGGAACAGCTGCTGCAGCGCTTGTGTTGCCTTCGTCCCACCTAATGCTGACAACAGCCCAAAAGTGTAGTGTGTCTCATGCCCAGATCCCTTTCAGCTACGGGAGCAGGTGGACTAGAGCTCTGTATATAACAAATACCAAATTTGTTTAGTTTAATGAGCTTTTAACAAGTTGCCGGGCTTATTTTTTTATCCTTAGCGTAGGAAAAATGAGACCCTACCTGATTCCAGGTGGCAGCCCCGGAGGTTAAGAAGCTGGAGAACAAAGACTCCTACTTTTTTCCCCATGCTTTGGCGTATTTGTGCTTCGTTTGCCTTAAAGAGTTGCTAGAAAGAAGGGTTAAGATTTGACAAGGTGCCTGAATTTTGGAGAGCTGAAAAATTAAACTTCTGCAGTTGTAATTCTTCTTTTCATCTTCCTCTGCTTATGTTTATATTCCCAGAGTGGTTTTTTGCGCTTAAATAACAAAATGTTTATGTAGTAACCGTGGGCCTGGTTCATCGCTTAAGAACACCCTGCTTGTTAATACCACACTGATAATTTAATTTAATTTTACAATTTAATTTAATTTTACTGTGCATGCCAGTGGCATTTTAACCTTGTTGGGTGAGATGTGACCAAATACTGCCTTGGAAAACTTCCCAGTGTAAACATAACATGAAGTGAAGCTGGAATTTCCCTAGATCCCCCCTCCATCTCATGTTAAAATGCATTGTAACGTTTTTACTGAAACTTTGCTCCGCTTTCTTCCTCCAATGTAGATTACAATGAAGATGGTGCCAAAAATGCTGTCTCCTCTGGTCAAAGAATGGGCCCCAGAGGCATTCGTTATTTCCTTTAAACTGGAGACGGATCCCTTGGTCTTAATAGATAAATCACGACAGGCTCTGGAGAAATATCGTCATCAGGTGGTGGTAGCAAATATCCTGGAGTCGCGGCGAACCTCTGTGATTATTGTAACCAAAAACTCACAGACTCCCTTATCGCTTTCTGAGGAGGAAATAGCGCAAGGCACGGAAATAGAGGAAAAGATAGTGAGCTACCTTCAGGGCCAGCATACTGCCTTTATAGAGAAGAAAGTCTGAGGACTGGCTCTGAATGAAATATGTGAAATTGTACTAGAGAGGGAGCGGAACTGGAAAGATTTCTCTATCCCAGGTAAAGCAAACAATCCTCAGCGAAATGCTGTGGGGAAAGGCTGCCGTCCAAAACCATGTAACTTTTCTACAGCTTGGTAATGGTTATTGTTGCTTGCTTTGAAAATGAAAAAAATACACTGAAGTCAGAGCATTCCAGAGGATGATGTTTGTTCTGGTGTCTAAAGGGCAGGATTGATTGCTTTATTTCTGTCCCGTGGGCTGGGCGAATTGGGAGGTGGAGGAATGGTGTAAATGTCTGTATATAAAAGATTTTCTTGAATCTGCCTCTTCAAAGTTTCTTTTCGAATTGCTGGACAGAAGAAGAAGGGCTGAAAAACAGATATTCTGTTTTTACGACTGGAGCAGAGCGACAGAGGTGGTGTTGAAAGTGGATGGTGAAACAAGTGTGAAAAGGATGAAGGAGAAATGGGGTGACGGCTTCAGAGAGATCATCTGTTGCTCCAGAAGCGCCATAGACCATCAAGAACTCTGCTCAGAAATGTGATTCAAGAAATAGGTGCTGTAGTGGTGTCCCTAAAGCCACTGATTCACAAAGGTTTTCCTTCTATCGTGGGTGTGTGGAGAGACAAGAGTTTGGAGGAGTGGGCAGTGAAGGTGGGGTGGCAGTGATCAGCCATGGGAAAACTGCCTCAGCTCTTGGGATTGAGTTAGAACTGGGACACTCCTGGTTTTCTCCAAATCTGAAGGGTTACCAAATTTGAAGCCTGTATTCCTCATGCTTACAAGAAGCAAAGTGTGCAATTTTGTAGTAAAAAAATTAACTGCTGCTCTACTGTTGTCTGTTGTGTTCTATTTAAGTGCTTTCCATGAAATAAATTCACAGTCTGTAAAGAAAGACAGCAATGCACAAAACACAGCACTGTTCTCAGAGTGAGACTGTGCTGTGTTTGAAACCACTGAGTGCTCAAGAAGGCAACTTGTGTAGTGGTACCCATTGCCTGAAAATGAGATGTGCTCATAAAACGAGGAAAAGAAACCCGGCAGAGCAAGAAAAGAGTGCGAGGATGGGCTCAGTGGATCAGGAGTACTGAAGGAATGTTGGGGTGTGCGGGTCCAGATCAGTCCCGAGCACTAAGATCCAGCTGGTGACCAAGCTGGGAGCAGAATTGTCGCCTTCTGCATGGCTGGGACTGCAGAAGGTGGAGAGAGAACTGCAGAAATGTGGGAAGTGCCTGTCGGAGATGTGCAAATAGGGAAGGAGAAGACAGTGGAACATCCTGCATGTGTGTTGTAGGAGCTCATGAGCTCTGAGAGCTGCCCATCTTCATCTTCCTGTGCATAATTGATGTGAATGTTGGGTCCTGCTTTTTTAGGGGTTTTTGTTGTCTTTACTGAGAAATAATCTGAACTTTTTGAGAAGATTTGGGCATCACCTGTCTAGGACCCTACAAGAGGCCCAAGGGGCTGCAGCTAAACAGGGCTGTGTGCTTCCCTGCTTAAGGTCTATTCCTCCTTCAGGAGTGTGGGAATCCTAGGCTGGGGAGACTTCCAAACGAAGCCGCAGCCATCTCAATGTGTTGGTGATGGTCCTGTTTTGAGGTTGAACTAAGACTTCGAGAGCTCCCATCCATGTCTGCTGCTGGCAGTATTAGGGTACCAGCCATTTCCTCTGGGGGTTGCTGGTTGTGGTACTGTAAGTAGGAAGCAGCTCCTGCAGGTCTAGGACTATCTGCACGTTGCTTTCTGAGGATCCCACACCCTGCTCAATGGAAGGTCCTTGCTGCGCGGTGCCATGTTCCTCTTAACTGTGTCTTTGTTTTCTTTTGTACCATGCTTTGCCTTCAGCTGCTGAGTCAGCTCTGCAGGACAAAGCCTACTCTGTCCCTTGCAGTTCCTCCATCTCAGCTTCACATACCTGCTTGCTTCACCTCATGGGATGCCCTCCGCCTCCAGCAGCTTCACTTAGGCTTTAGAAGAAAATCAGAAAAACCCTTCAGCCCCTTTTGCTCCGTTTTTGGTGCTGACGGGAAGCGTTCTGCTACATACTTTGATTCTGCGAGGGGCTTGAAGCGCTGGGCAGAAGTAAGCCCTAAATGCCACCGCTTTTATGGCCAGGAGTGGGACGCGTCTCCTTGCTTGGTCACCTGAAGGACAGGGACCGCTGCGGGAACGGGGCTGCTCTGCCGGGAGGGGGCGTGGCCTAAGCGAGCGGAGGCGTGTCCCTATGTCGGGGGCGTGGTCTGAGCGGAGGGGGCGTGGCTTAGGTGTGCAGGGTCGTGTCCCAGTGAGGACAGGGGCGTCTATCAATAGCAGGAGGGGCGGGGCTCCCAGGGCCCCGTTGCCATGGCGCCGGGAGG